CCCAAAAAAAAAAAAAAAAAAAAAAAAAAAATTTGCAACAGGATTCCAACATTCAGTCCAAAAATATTTATTAAACAACTATTATTACCAGGCACTGTCCTAGGGGCTGCAGCAGAGAACATGTAGAATCCCTGCTTTCCTGCAGCTTACATTCTAGTTGCGGATAAACAGAAAACCAATCATTTCCCAGATGCTGCCTGGTTGGGATTTATAACCTGCACGATAGCATCGCCATCACTTTGCTCTTATGCGTGGCCTCACCCTTCCAGGGCAGAGCAGGAATTCAACAAGCATTTGCTGAACTAATGTCGATATTGGATGCCCCTTCCTGTATTAACTCTGTCTTTAGGACACGTGCCCATGGGTTTGGTGAGTTGCTGTTGGTGCCGACCCCATGTTAGGAGCAGAAACACAGAGCTGAATAATACGCACTCCTCACTTCAGTGGATTCCTAACCCAGTAGATTCCTAATCCAGTGGGGAAAGCAGGGAGGCTGGATCAGTAGTAAGAATGTAGCCCTGTGGGCGGGGCAAGGAGCACAGCCTTCGGAGCCAGGAGGACTTGGGTGGAAACCCAATTCCTAGTTGTGGGGCTTTGGGCCACATGTTCACCTCGGTTTCCTTGCAGTAAAGAGTATAATAATATCTACCTATCTGACAGGACTGTAGAGAGATTTTAAAGAATATATATGTAGAGTACTTGGCACACGCTTGGCACGTGATCAAAATGCTAGTTCTCTTTCTGTCTCCTCCCTCCCTTCCAGCCCCCATTCCAAAAATAAAGAGATGGCTTTGCAGGAATATCATATTTGCAAATATGAGATTCATATTTGGCCTTGAAAAGAATCTTGCCAGAATTGGGGAAAGAATACGCAAGCAGAGGAAAGTGAATTATTAAAAAGTGTTAAAGAGTATTAAAACATTGGTATTGCCAACAACAAAAAAGTGAACCTTTAGGTAAACTATGGACTTTAGTTAATAATAATGTGTCAATATGGGTTCATTAATTGTAACAAACATACCACTCTAATGTATGCTATTAATAACAGCCAACTGGGGAGAGGGGGTGGGGAAGAGAGAAATAACATGGAAACTCTTTGTATTCACTTTTTCTATAAATCCAAAATTGTTCTAAAAAAACCCGTTAAGTAAAAGAAAACATTGGGACTGCTCAGGGGACAGCAAATAGTTGTGTGTAACAAGATCACAGCCAGGGTGTGCGTAGGATAGCAGGAGACACAGCTGGAGACGGGTCAAGTCAGACAAAGAAGGATCTCAAAGGCAGCATCGAGGGATGTGCATTCTGTTCTGGAGACAGCAAAGACCTCCTCAGACAGAGCTCTTATGTGATCAGATCTGTAATGCGGAAAGAAAAGGCCGGGGCAGTGAGGCGGCTGGACCAGAAGGGGCAGGGTGAGTGAGACTACTGCCAGTCTAGACAAAAGGTGACGTTTGAAACTGGAGCCTGGAAACCAAGAAGAGCTCGTGGACCAAAAGTGGCTGCAGATGTTTCATCTGGCCTACACAGTATTTTGAAATCATCATTTATGAACTGGGAGGTTTCACATCAGAATCACCCTGATGTCTA